CCTGCCCTCAGAGTCCTCAGCTGCAGCCACGAAGAGCACCCCCTGTGTGCATGTGCTTGTTAGTACTCAGGCATTTAAGCTGGCCTGCTTGGGGTCCTGACAGAATACGTATTCATCTATGGCCACTTCCTGTGTGAATTTGCTAAATCCCCTTATAAAAGGCAAGCTCCTCTGATTTCCCATTCTCTTTATCTGCTGCTTCTCACTTCCAGAGGCCAGCCTCTGTGTCCTTTCCCTTCTCTTACCCCAACAAACTTCCTGCATGAGTTCTGTTGTATGGTGTGACTCTCCCCCACAGCCTCTAACTATAACAGTTATCAGGTCTCAGAGATGTTGCTAGGAGACCTACAGTCTCACCCCCCAAAGCTATCTGGACTACTACTGAGGTTGAGAACGTCTATTTAGGGGCTGAAGCAATGGGTCAGTGGGCAAGCATGAGCACCCAAGTTTATATCCCCAGCACCCATGTAAAAAGGTAAGTGTGGTGGCATATGCCTATAACCCAGTGCTGGGAGGCAGAACAGAAGGATCCCAGGCCCTCATTGGCCACCTTGTCTACAAGAAATGACCAGTTTTAAGTTCAGGGAGAGACCCTGTCTCAAACACTGTGTGGTGATAGAAGCCATCTCATTGTTAACCTCTGGCTTCCACAAGCACAGGCACAGAGGTGTGTACCCTACCACACACACAAAGAAGTTCTGCTCTAGAGTAAGTAACTGGCAAGAGGCAGAAAATTAATGTTTGTTGTTCCTTCTTGTGTTTGGCAATGTTTGAAAAAAGGAAAGAGAGATGAACTCAGCAAATAGCTACAACTAGAAGTAAGAGGGCTAGAAACTATTCCAAATATGTGGGGCTTTTATAGGTCTCATAAATAATCCTCTAGAGGCCAACAGGAGGAAGGAAATCTGACAGAAAATGCAAAGCTTTCCTTGGACTTTCAGTTAAACAAAGCAATTCATCCTTATGGTTAAGATTACACTAAGATTTTTTTTCCTTCTGCAAGTATTTTTTGCCTTGTGTATACTAAGCAATTGTCTATGGAAATACTGAGAGTCAGACAACATCAAGGACAACTCACCCTTCTAGCAAGATAACCTCGTGTCTCTCATACCAGAATCAGTCTTTCATTTATACCCCTTCAAGACGTAAGATTTTGTTCTCCATTGTCTCCTCTCTGCTGTAAATCTGAATACAGATAGTCTCAGTCATATACCACACATATCCTAGAACACTGTATAAGATACAATAGTTCCTTGAAAGTTAAATATTCACTAACATAATATTCTGTAAAGTGCTGATCCCCTGGTGTTTGATCTTTAGATGTCCATAGCCCAGTACTAAGAGACAAAAGAAAAAAAATCACTCCATGACAATTCGTATGTGTCCTAAAAATAATTTTCACACTAGGAGTGTGTGAGAAAGTAAGTGCCTGCTCCTACTCTCCCAGCTCTAACTGCATGTGGCTGTGTGAGTCTAAGTCCCGTGGACCACTGACACTGCTTTTAACAAGGCTAACACAAGTAAATCTCTATGGGGTACAGTTGGTCTAAGTGTCAAGTTTTAATCTTTTAAGGAAGTTAGGGGCTAAAAAGTGAACTAAATATTGGGACTCAAGTAGCACCAAGAATCCTACTTCTCAGCTGAAGGTATACATCTGAACTTTTGATGATGGAGTGACTGGGTCACATAGAAAGATGAAATCACCCAGGAGAAGCACAAAACAGTATCCCAAAGCAGAAGGTGTACAGAATAGAAACCACTCAAGAAGTGAATAAGCAAAATCTGATTTTCTTTACAGAGTGAATGTCACACTATGTAAATAATGTCAGTTGTTTTATGTGAATTCACATAAAACCAGATTGTCCTTTCAAATGTGTCCCTGCCATGTACTCTTTTTTTTTTTTTTTTTTTTTTTTTAATTTTTGGATTTATTTTATGTATGAGTGCTCTGCCTACATGTACAACTTTACACCAGAAGATGGCATCAGATCCCACTATAGATGGCTGTGAGCCACACTGTGGTTGCTGGGAATTGAATTCTGGACCTCTGAAAGAGCAGCCAGTGCTTTTAACTACTGAGCCATCTCTCTAGCCCTCAAATGTGTTCCTTTTCCACCCCGATTTTATGATTCTTAAATAATAACCTCTCCTTTTATATATATATTTTGAAAAACTTCTTGCTATTTTTATGTATGTGTTTGTGCCTACTTGAGTTTTCTGTGCACTGTATGCATGCAGGAACCTGCAGGAGCCAGAGACACCACTGGGTCCCCTACAACTGTTGTTGGGGGGCAATCGTGGGCCACCATGTGGGGCTGGGAACAAACCTAGGTCCTCTACAATAGCAGTAAGTTCTTTTAACTGCTGAGTCATCTCTCCAGCCAGTATTACACTACCTTAAATCCAAAAGACCCACCAGTTTTGTGCATATATTCAGTAGATTTTTGATTCACTAGATTTAAGCAGAAAGAATTATATTTTTCTCACTGCCACTCTCCGTTTCCCCATAAAGCTCAAATCTCTCAGAAAAATTAACTCTCACATAACCCCTCAAAATAGATCCATTGTCCTGGAATTTCTGACCATGAGTCATGTAAGCTTTGTGCTACACACTTTACAGGAGTACTTAGTCAACATGTATCAACAGAGAAACTGGCAAGACAAGAGACAGCGCCTACAGCTGATCTCTAATAGGCAGTCAAATGGTGTCCTGATTAAGATAATGGGAACAGGAATTGGGAACTAAGAACTCATAACTTTGAGGGCAGGTGTAGTGTTCAAACAACTTTTAAAATATCCTATCAAATGGGGCCAACTAGTGATTGAAGGCATTTAACTTGGCACTGACTCAAAATTCCCTATAGGACAAAGCAGCACAAACCAGAACCCCCAGATGTGGCATGCTGAAATGCACACATCATAAAGTGCAGGTCACCATAGGCCACATTCCCGTGTACATTTCCTTCTTTTCCTTTAACTACAACCTCTATTCTTTCCCCTATATTGTCTTACTTGGAGCTTATGACCCCTTTCATCTGTAAGTGTATCCATCCATGCTCATATGCTTTTAATAATGTGTTGAGATGATCCACATGAGATAAAGAATGAAACTTGGTCAGTACCAACTTTGCAGGCAAAGGGTCAAAACTTCCAGAGTCTGATCTGGTGGTTTATTCTTCTTACACATTTAAGCATAGCAAATCTTTGGGAAAAGGTTTCCACATGACAATTATCACAACAAAGCTTTAGGGATAGCTACATAGAAACTCCCTGGCAAAGTAGCAAAGCATCTGTGACCTTTGTAATAAGAATGAGTTCTACTGGCTAATAAACAGAGCTCGGGGTTAGGGCCTACAAGAAGGATCTGTGATAAGCATAAGGATAGATTCTACTGGTGGAGGATGCAAAGTACATGGGGCTTCTTTCATAAAAGTTCTATTCACTGAGAGACAAAGTTCAGGATTAGGGCCTAAACAATGCTCAAGATACTGGGGGGATTCAGGTGGAAGCTGGCTCCTAATAGAATAGCAAAGGATAACCAGGTTGTTTCACCACCTTTACTTTGACATTCCAGGTGACCAGGTATCACTGACAATACAAGTTTCTCTAATGCCTACTTTAAGCTGTGCTTCCTACAGTAATGATTTTCAGTATCTCCAGCCTAGCAAGACTTCCATATTGATAGTATGACAACTCTTCTATTTTCTTCAACACAGTCCTGTGAACTAAAAGAAATCTGCACACAAACAGTTAATTTTGCTAATACTGGCTTTAACTAGATTGAAGTGAGAAATGATTCTGAGCATTGTGACCTGAAAACTAAAAGGCAGACAATCCAAAGCTTCAAATGCTATGACTGATGTAAAAAGGTTAACAGTAGCACTACGGAATAGAGAGGAAGACAAATCTCAAAAAAGAATAAAGGAAAAGGCAATGGTTACCACCAGTGCACTGGGAAACAGATAAAATTCCCATATGTGTGGCAAGTGATAGAGGGAGGCAGTAAATAATAAATACTGAATACTGGGAAAGAGTAAGAGTTTAGCTAAATTGATTAGGTAATAAAATTATATAGGCTTTTAGAGTCAAACACCTGAGTTTAATGTTTACTTGGACCAAGTAATAATAAGAGAAACCATAAGAATTTCCATCTAGTTCATAATTAAGAGGACTAAATAGTAAAAGTCCACAACTTAGAACACAAACAATATTCAAGAAGCATTCTGGACTAATACAGAACTACTAGTTTACCCAAAGAAGAGGAGTTTCCCAGTCTAGAGATAGTCACAGATTCAAGTGAACAAGTCAAGGGCACAGTGAACCTTTTACAAGTGTTTAAAACAAATAGCTCAACAATCAGGATGATTTGACCACTAGGTGGCAATGGTACGGGTGCATTTCACACAAAAACTATGTAAATCCAGAAAAAAGAACCAAGAGGTTTTCTAGTGTATATTTTCATTTTATAAAAAATTATTTTATATGCAGTTTAATAATTTTTATCTAGTTCAATATGCATGTTAACTTCTAATGCCTTTTTTTTCCACTAGGCACTAAAAATTAATGCTTCGAACACAATTTTAAACACTTACCATAAATTAGTACTTTGAAAAATCTAGACACACACACACACACACATATAAAACAAAGATAACATAAATTATGGGAAGATAAAAATCCTTTTTAAAAGTTTTAGAATCCCGCCGGGCGGTGGTGGCGTACACCTTTAATCCCAGCACTCGGGAGGCAGAGCCAGGCGGATCTCTGTGAGTTCGAGGCCAGCCTGGACTACCAAGTGAGTTCCAGGAAAGGCGCAAAGCTACACAGAGAAACCCTGTCTCCAAAAACCAAAAAAAAAAAAAAAAAAAAAGTTTTAGAATCCCAAGACAACAAATGGAAAAAACAAAATATTCAAAACTGTGACCGATTCTATTTCTTTTAATAAATTGAGCCCAGACATGCTATAATAAATATAATTTAATCTTAAATTATAGTAATCTTAATACATGAAAACTATTTTCAATAGCATGGATAAACAGAATTAAAAAAAATTGTAAAAACTCTTAAAACAAATTACAGAATTCCTTTTTGTGTTAAAACAATTTTTATCTCTAGCACTTCCTAGTTATTTGTGCTTTCTTCAAAAAACAGAATACAAACATATGATTTATCTAAAATAAAAACTTTATTTTTTTCATATCAAATAAAATCAGCCAAGTATGACAAAATTTTCAAGTTATAGATATTTCTAAATATCCAGTAAGAAAAATTAAATTTCAAATTTCATGTTTCCCAAATAGTAGTGAGAGTTCATATTATTACATGTAATAATTAAAAACATTCATGAAAAATTAGGTAAATAAATAATTCTATAGTTATCCAACTCAAAATAAAAAAAATCCTTTTCTTCTTTGTATAAATAAACCTAATGTTTCCCAAATTGTCAACACCCAGTTTCCTCCAAATGAACAGATCAAAATACCTCTCAGAAATCAGCTTTCTAGTTTCTCTCATTGAATAATTACTTCCTACATATAATTCATTTCCAGAATTATCTTTTCCACCCACAAAAATGTAAGAAAACAAATATGATTCTAAGTTATTTTTATAATTCATAGATTATTTCTACCATCATTACTGAACTTCATTTTTTAGTTATTATATAGCATCCTGAAATCTAGTCATTTAATTCTCAGTCTATACAAATAAAAAAACCCAGATAACCACTTAAGTTGGTTAGCACAAGACAAAATTGCTATTTAAGCCCTCAATTCAACAAAAGAATTCAGGGAAGTGCTCACTATATCTAGCTTTTAAAGCTAGAAAATATAGGGAATGCCACTCTTAGGTCACCAATTTACAGAAGCAAATATATGAGTATGTGTCATTTATATCTATACACAAGTAGTTTGTTATTAACAAATATGGGGATAGACACACAATCCTCAAACCACTTGTTACATTTTTATATGTATTTCATAGGACTACGTTTGACAATGTAGAACACGAAGAAATTAAACCACATTTCAAAGTGTCACACAAATACAATTATAACAAAAGATAAAACTCAAATGTTGCTATTGACTTGAGTTTGTCATTTTCTGTTTATTTCTGATGGTGGCTCTAAGTTTCCGTATTACCAGTCTGTCAGGTAGAATCATATCACCTTGTTGTTCTAGATAATCTAATAAATTCTCAGTCCACTGGAGAGCAGCTGTATGATTTATATGTTTCTCTGGAATCAGTTCAATTCCATCCTCATCGTTTTCACTGGAATCATCTGTCTGGCCTTGGGCTCTTCTGATGATTTCACTGTCAGTTAATACTTCGTAACCTGGCTCAGTACTGTCAATCTCAAGCCACTTTTCCATATTTTCCAGAGTCACATTCTCCAGTCCTTTGGTATGCTGTAAAATGGTGGCCACAGTAGCCCCAGAAATATCTTCTTCATCAAAGTCCAAACCTCCTTTTTCCTCTATCGCAGGAAGAATCTGTTTCCAAGCTCTGCTAATGGTAACTGGCTTTACTAAGTTCCATGCCATTGCTATCTCATAAAGTGCATCCAACAGAGTCAGCTTCTTCCAGAATGACTTCAGGTCATTACCTTCTTCCAAATTGTTCTGGAGAAGACCTGCTCGATAGTTTCTTTTCATGGTTGCTATGACTCCCTGATCCAAGGGCTGAATCGATGAAGCTACATTAGGTGGTAAATATTTTGCAAATATCTGGCCATCATCTGACCTCAGGACATTTTCATTTGGATGTGTTGGGGAATTATCCAGCAAGAGCACAGCTTTTTCCTGTAAGCCTTTAGATCTTAAGTACTCTCGAACCTGAGGTACAAAAATCTTATCGAACCATTGCCGGAAAATGGAGAGATCCATCCATGCACCTTTCTGGCTGAAATAAGACACAGGCAGGTTTAAGGTGTCAGTGGACTTGAAGGAGCGAGGTTTCTTAGCTTTACCCACAACACAAAGTTTAAGTTTGTGTAAGCCTGTTGCGTTGGTACAGCACATAACAGTGACTCTTTCTTCAAATGAGTTATGCCCAGGGACAGTGCATTTACCTTTAATTACTGCAGTCCTGGAAGGTAGGCACTTCCAAAAGAGTCCAGTCTCATCTGCATTGTAGATCTGCTCTGGCTGCAAATTCTCCCGTTCGATAAAATCTCTAAAGTTGTTACAAAAATCTTCCACAGCAGTCTCATCTCCATTTAATCTTTCATTTCTAATGTTAATCTCTCTAATGCTGTGCCGCTGCTTAAAGCGGGTTAACCACCCAGCGGAAGGGTTAAAATCACCATCCATTCCCAAAGCGTAGAAAAAGAACTCTGCCCGTTTGGCACAAATTGGTCCAGATACGGGATTCCCTTTCGCTCGCTGCTGATTGAACCATTCTAACATTGCTCTGTCTAGTTCCTCATACATGGATGGCTTCATAGATTTTCTCTTAGCCAGAAGACTTGTGGAATCAGAGCTGCTTGCATAAGTTATAATCTTTTCCTTATTTTTTCTTATATCCCTAACTGTTGTTTCGCCAATTCCGTATATCACCGCCAACTGCTTGGAAGAGCCTCCATCTTCGAGTTTCTTTATTATATCGAGTTTATCTTTAATAGTCAACACCACCCGCTTCCGCTTCCCTGACATGGTGAGAGTCTGGCACTCACTCACACTGTGGCAGCCCTTAAGATTCCTCACTGAGACTTAACAGTCTGGAGCACCCGACCGGCTTCAGCCTCTGAAGCAGCCTGACGCTGGGACAGCCAGGGCAAGGCAGGTGACAGGGAACTGGCGGGGCAGGCCTTCAGCAGAAGTGAGGCGGAGGAGGAGGCCTCTCTTCCTTCCCCTCGGACAAGCCGGACTGCGGACTTGTGGCCGCAGGTCTCGCTGCAGCCCGGGCCCGGGTGCAGGCCCTTCACGAGCCCTGCCACACCCCGAAGTCAGAGCAGAGCGGAAGGGGCTCCCCTTCCTCAGGCAGCGGGCCCGGCGGCTGCCCCGCCCGCACCCGGGCCGTCGGCCCCAGCCCGCTCGCCCGCTCGCTCGCCCGCTCGCCCGCCCCGGACGCCCCACGCCGCACTCCCACCTCAGCGGCTCCCCAGCGGCGGCGACGCAGCCGCTCCTCCCTTCGCGCGCGCTCCCGGAAGCCGCGCCCCAGCTCGCGCGCCTCGGGCCCGCCCCTGCCCGCCCGGAGGCGGGACTTCCGACTCTTCCAGGAAGTGGGCGGGACTGTCGGGAAGCTGGGCGGGGACGGAGACGGGAGCAGAGGCGGCAGCGGAGCCGGGGGCGCTTTGAAAGGTGAGAGCTAGAGAATTCCTGGCGGGAATTCTCTCCCGGGTCTGGTTCCAGTCAGAGAATTAATGGATTGGGGGGACGCCTCGCCTCCCGTAGAGCCCAGGCGGATTCCTGCGGCGCGGAAGGGACCGGCGGGTTCCCTCAGTGTTGCGACCCGCCATCTCTTAGCTGCTCGTCACGGACGCGGGAAGGGGCCCACAGAGTCTCCTCAGACACTGTGAGAGCACAGCCGTCCATGGGTGTCTCCTCAGACCCTAACCTGTGAGAGCTCATCCCTCCATGGGTGTCTCCTCAGACCCTAACCTGTGAGAGCTCACCCCTCCGAGGATGTTTCCTCAGACCCTTATCTGGTTGTGCACAGCTCCTCCTGGGCGTTTCTCAGCACATCCCTATCTGGGTAGACAACCCCTGTTCACGGTTCTTGTTTCTCTAGACCCTTCTTTGTGGATGCACAGCCTTTCTGCAGTCTTCTACCAACAGCCATCCCTCCATTTTGGAGCCTGAGCACCCGCTTCCTGCATCTGGGGAATGAGTCCCGCCAGAAAGCCAGGTTGGTAATCATGAATGTGACCCTGGTATTCACACCCCAAAGGATCTTTTCTTCTCTCAGACATTCATCCCTGCTGGATTTAGGGAGCCACAGCCCCGTCACAGATGCTAATGAGTGAACTAGTTATCCTGGATGCCAGGCTGGCAGGACCCACTCTACGCGAGATTGTGAAATACTGAACTATGATATCAAATGGGAGGCATTGGCTTGCCTCTTAGTATCTTTGCTTCATCATTTCCTTTTTTCTGTCGTGTTATGCTGCCCTCTTTTCCAGCTGATAGGAGGACTATGATAGATTGACTCAGACCAGTGTGACAAAAACTTAAGCAGAATCATGCATGCAGCTCTCAAAGCCTTTATTGTACTGGTTTGGTTTCGATGTCCCTAGTAATTTCGTGAGATTGTGAGCTCCTTGGGAGCAGAGACTGCATTTATTTCTCCTAGTAGCGCCACTGCTCCAGAACACGTGCTGGCATTTTGATAAGTGTTCAATAGCGATTTCTTTGGTTTGTAATATTTCCTCTCCAAACCACCATATAAAAGAAAACATAAAAGAGGGTTGATGTTCTATAAATATCACCAGTTAAATCCCTTCTGGTAGAATTTCCAAAAGAAGCATAGCGTTTGCATTTCAAATCAGAGATAAGTATCATCTACCTACATTGTAGAGCAAGTAGGTGACTTCAGTGTTAAATATTTTCTTGAGTACAAATTAATCTCAAATTCTAAAAGAAAATATTTCTTCTGATGAGAGATACAGGTGGCACAACACAGTACCTTCCTTTACCTGTAAAGTTACTTTGAGAGAAAGAACACATTCAAATCTGAATTATCTTTAAGTCACATCCTTTGGCAGACATCAAAGTTAATATGTGCATCTTACGTGATAACCATGAAACACATGATAGTATTGACCTTCATTCACTTATTTGGTGTTTTCTGGTGGAGTCTTTGTTTTTTTTTCTTGGCCTGAAGGTAAGATAGCTTGATAAAATTCTCATCTGAATTTTTTTTAATTCAGCATAAACAAAACTTAAACCCATTTGCATAGATTCTTTTGCAGGTGAATTCTAAACATGGAGATGTCTTACCTATGAACTAGGCTTCGTTTTCTCATTTTTCTCCTCTAGATTACTCACCTTTTTCCTCTGACATTCTTTCCTCCCCAGAAAATTTAGTCAAGCTATTCATAATTCAAAAAGAAGAACTAACCCCATTCAAAAAATCTCCCTTTTGATAACAGGTTTATTTTACCTTATTGATAGAAATGACAATTTTGAAATAAGACAAACCCTGGCAAATGTGAAACTTAAATAAAATATACCTTCTGAAAAAATCAAAGTCTTCATTTTTCCGTAGAAATTTTTGCTTTGGACCTTACCAAGGATTCCCTTAAATTTTGTAGTTCATGTCATCAATAAAATGGTTGAGGGAAGTCTGCAGCTTTCCATCTCTTGCATTTTTTCTCTTGCCTAATGGATAATTTTCAAAAATTTCTGAATTAACCCATGGGCACTTAAATTCAGTTACATATTTTTAGAAAAGCATGTTAACTCATCATTTTGATGGTTGTCTTCTGAAACTAAAATTTAGCATGAATAAGACATAATATTACTTTAAAGTGTTAATTTTTTACTGTGTGGACACACATGATATTACCAGCAGTCATTGTGTAGCACTGGACGGGGATCAGGAGGCCTGGCTTCTAACCCTGCTCTGTCACTAGCAAGCTCTGTGATCTTTGGTAAGTCATTTAAACTCTATGTACATGACTTTAATATTTGTATATGAAAATAAATAGTACCTTCTTTGGAAGATCATTTTCAGGATTTAAAAATAAAGATGAAAGTATTCTGTTCAATTTTAAATACAGGTGATTTCTTTTATACCTTCATTATGTACAGTCATATGTCTTCTTAATAGTGTGATAGTCTTAATCATTTCTACTATTGTCCTAGAAATTACCCATTGTAAGATAAATGTCCTTTGAGTATGTTGTAGTTTCATAAGAGCAATCTGGTGTATGTGAATCTGCTTTGTGTACTAAAATAAAATCATCTTTCACTTTAACATTTCTTCCTGTCCATATTTACTTTCATGTATCTATTGAAACCATGTTTGTCTTTTTATTGAAGTGTCTTTCATTATTTATCCCAATTCACACAAGTTTCCTAGAAAGCTTTATGATTTTGTAATACACATATGCAAAATTGGCTTATGAAAATTTGTATGTGCTTACAAATTCTTTACTATATGACTTCAAAACATAAGCTGCCTAGTTATTCTAATGTTTAACAAAAAGTCTTTTCAAAACTATTGGAGAAATTAGGTGGACATAGTGTAAAGCAGTGGAGCATGCAAAAGGTATGCTTTGAATAATAATTAGGGATTTTTTTTTTTTTTTTTTTTTTTTGTTGATTTTTCGAGACAGGGTTTCTCTGTAGTTTTGCACCTTTCCTGGAACTCACTTTGTAGACCAGGTTGGCCTCGAACTCACAGAGATCCTCCTGCCTCTGCCTCCCGAGTGCTGGGATTAAAGGCGTGCGCCACCATCGCCCGGCTAATTAGGGATTTTTTAAAGGTAATTTTCAGTACATATCTTTATTGTTTTTTATCTTTGTTGACTTCAATATAATACTTATGTAGATTATAACCAACTGTAATTCAAATAGACCATTTGGTTTATTAAATGGTATTTGTTACTATTATTGTTACATTAGTTATATCCTATAGCAGATACTATCAAAAAGTTACACTTCAGCCTATGCTATACAGGTTTTTTTGGTGTATAATCTTATAATTTCTGTTGTTCTGATTTTATATGAGAAGTTACCACTATAGGGAGGCATACTGCCTTATAACCATACCAGAATTAGTACAATTAATATATTTTCTCTTCCAAGTAATTGGAATGCTGTAAATTTGGTTCAATAATGCCAACCCTGCTTAAAATTATTTTGGCTTTGTAATTTTGATACTACCTTTATAGTTAGTTACACAATTTTTAATATTTTTCAATGATAGTTAATCTCTATTTTATAAAGATTTCTTTCTCTAAGTTTCTAACAATCCCTTAGAAGTGAGACAAATGAAGTAGATGTTTGAAGCTAATATTTGGAATATAAAATGTAAGCAGTGTGATTATTTTCATAATTTTGGATTATTTTTGTTTTAAGGTTCTATTTTTGTTTTATCCCTTGGTACTATTATATGTAGAAAGACCAGAAATATTGTATGCTATTATAGAATATTGTTATAATAATTTTCTTAAGTTCTTACACATGTACTATGAGGTCATATTACCTTATGATTTTACTTCTATTCCTTGACAACCACAGAAGTACTGAATTTCTATTTATCTTACCTGTCAGTATTTAATACATGCTTGTGATAAATTTAGTGAAATATACTTTATAAAATCACAGACTGACAGCTTTGATTTTTCTTCCTTGTACTATACTCTGATTTGCCATGAAACTTTTAACTTTTTTATTTGACCACACTATTGGATTTATTTTGTGCTTTTTAAATATAGTATAACTCCATTTCCACTTCACAAAGGAATATAGAGGCTACAGTCTTAGCAGATAGGTTCTCTCTCTGCATTGTATTGTCATCTCTTTTGTCTATCAGTTACTACATTGTAACTTTGTTCGTGTAACTTGATTGAGCCTTTAAATTTCATGTTATTTCTGTTCCAAATCAAATCCTTCTTTGCCTGAAGATGAATCATCTTTGTAATTCAGTGTATGTGTGTGTTGAACACATATATGCAATGTATGTGAGTTTGCTCCCTGATGCAAGTATATGTGGACACCAGGGATGGATGTAGAGATATCTTTCTTGAGTATTTATCATCATCATCATCATCATCATCATCAGTCATTATTATTATTGTTATTTGAAACAAGATTTCTCACTAAACCTAGAACTTGTCATTTCAGTTGGACTAACAGGCCAAGGAGCCACCCCTGAGATTCATCTGTCTCTGTTCCACATCCAGTGCTGGGTTTGGTGTGCACTGTACCAACCAGTTTTTAATGTGGGTAATGAGGATCCCAACCCAAGTCCTCATGCTTCATTCCAAGCAGTTTACCCACTAAGCCATCTCTCATCCCTCTCTCTGTAATTCTATTATTGTTTTCTCTTCTTGTCTCCTTTTTTTCCTGCCAGAAGCTATGTATCCCTTTTAAGTAACACTTACTAAGTA